CATGCTTAAAAGTGCAGAGAGTAATGCTGAACTTAAGGGTTTAGATGTAGATTCTCTGGTCATTGAACATATCCAAGTGAACAAAGCACCCGAGATGTGTCACCTAACTTACAGAGCCCCTGGTCGCGTTAACCCAGACATGAGCTCCCCCTGCCACATCGAGATGATCCTTACTGAAAAGGAACAGATTGTTCCCAAACCAGAAGAAGAGGTAGCACAGAAGAAAAAGATATCCCAGAAGAAACTGAAGAAACAAAAACTTATGGCACAGGAATAAATGCAACATAAAATAAATGCAAATAACTGTAAAAAAAAAAAAAGAGAGAGAGAGAGAGGTGCATGGGAAAGCACATGGAAAGAGAAGAGGAATATTCGGGGAGAAATCAGTGCACGCACCACGTAGCTTTGCAACTTGCAACTGCCACTATTAACCCTGCAAGAGAGGCCTCTGGCCAGTAGCTGCCAGCCAGTCTGTGCCTTAGAATGACCTGTGATGTCCATAAAGCTGCCACCAGCAGGACCTCACCTCCAGACACACTGATCCAAGGGGTTTTTGAGGGGGCCCAGCATCAATAGTTATCGCTTTTGTTTTGTTTCCTAGGTGAGTCTGTAATCAAGGTCAAGAACCTCTCCTCAAGGGGTTCCCATTAATGAACACGTAAGGCACAAATTCTACTAGTGATTGATTTTGGAATGCCAGTCTAGCTTAACAAACAAAACTAGGTTTAGCTTGTGAGCCAACATCGTTTGATTGGTATTGGCAGGCTGCTGAGACAGGAGGGACCCTGTGCCCGAACTCAGAACACAACGATCAATTAATGACGTCAGACACCAGTTGGGGAGAAGAGGGAAGGGCTGGTATGTGGCCATCCTGGGTCTCACTCCTCTAATCCTGCCACAGCCTCCAAAAAGGAGCATTATATAATCACACATTATTTTAGTGTGATTTTTGACAGGAACAAAAAAGGATACGCTTACTGGAGCAGGCTGTGTGGTCATTATTCAGAGCCTTCAGAGCCCCCGACCCCTCCAGGCCAGAGCCCTGGCTTGGACAAATATCAGCAACCTCTGGGGCAGCAGCTCGAAGGCTTTGCCCCCTAGAACGGCAGCCTGACTGCAAATTCTCAGGCCCACCCCAGACCTCCTGCATCAGACACTCCAGGGGCGGCAGCATCTGAGTTAGCAAGCCTTCCAGAGATGCTGATATACGCTGTAGTTTAAGAACTATTACTCTAGGAGACTTAAAAAAAAAAAAAACTTTGCATATTCTTAAGCTCTATGAGGACCCACCAAAACAGAATCTTTGTGGGTAGAGCCCAGGAATCTGTATTTTTAAGCAAATGATGCTCCAATACTTCTGATGCACACGGTCAGGCTTGGGTACCACGGACCTAGCATTGATCTCTGTCTTCTGTTCTGTTTCCTCGACGGCATTGCTAGAAACAATCTGCCTGACGATGCCCATCCTGGGAATGTGTGCAACCACACACACAGCTGGTCGCCATCAGCTGCTCTCCGACCCACTGCAAAGTTCACGTTCTTCACCTGTAAAGTAGGGATGCTCTGATCTGAGGGACTGGGTTGCTGTGGTGACAATGACATGAGAACAGCTCGCTTCAGAAGTGGCCATGTCCTGGCTAGTCAATGATTTCAGTTGAAAGAAACAGAAAAGGGAGGGAGGGAGGAGAAAGAAGCAGGCATGAGACAAAGTGATTATCTTTGCTGCGCCTGGGGAAGCTTAGCTCCGATTACATGCAGTCAAGCCATGTTATGAGCAAGATGACTGCCCACGTGAAGCGCAGACAGACACTGCGGGAGCTGCTGACGGCCCCCAAAGGAGCCTGCGTGTCCTGGCTGCACAGCCTGCTCCAGTAAGTGTATCCTTTTTTGTTCCTGTCAACAATCACGCTAAAATCATTATTTTAACTGATGTTAAAACAGCAAGCTCATGTCAACTCCTGGCTGGAGGGAGAGCAAGACTCCAGCACATCCATTCGCCGGGCCCTGTCCTGCATGAGCATGTTCAGTCTCTCTAGTAAACTGTGCAGGCCACAGGAGAGGGGCTGGCAGAACAGATGGTGTCATGGTGGAGTCCAGGGGCAGCCTCCACAGTGTGACCTTCCATCTGCAACTGCTGGTGGGTGACAGTCCCAGACCAGGACCAGTTCAGTCCCGCTGTTTACCTTGCCTTTTTCATGCCAGTAACCCAGGGCTTCCTTTGGCCTCCAGGGTGAACACGAGTTCCCCACCTGCCATCCAGCCCCTCCAGATCTGCCCCCTCAACCTCTCCAGTCCCCTCTCTCCTCTCCTCAGAGGGGACCTCCCTCTACCTGGCCCCCTGAAAGCCATGAGACACACCCCTTTCCTCACGCTGCTCCCCCACCTTCACCAGCCTCCTTACCCCTTTGTTGGCGTCCCCATCCTTTGAGGCCAAGGCCAAGGCCTGGGCCTGCATGGGCTCCCTGTCAATCTCAGCGCTGGCAGGTCCCTTCCACCTCAAAACAGACTTACTCCTCTGCCTCCAGGCTCTGCCTTGTTTTGAGATTACAGTACTCACTGCCAGCCTTTCCAGGCCTTTTATCTTATGAGCACTCCATGGGCATGAGTAGAGTGTCCTTCGTTGTCAAAATTGGATCATTTTTGATATTTTGGGAGTAAAAAAAAGAGCAGCACTATAGGGGGTCCCAAAGGTCACCCATAAAGTCACCACACATAGGGAAATTGTAGCTAAATGTACCTTTATTTACAAAATATTCATTGCAAAATTTTACAAAGAGGTGGCCAACATACAGAGAATATCTTGCTAGTATTTTGTACAATTTTATAATGAATATTTTATAAATAAAGATATGTTTAGTTATAATTTTCCATTTTCTCTATGTATGGTAACTTTATGAGCAACCTTTGGGACATGGTTAATTAATAAATATATCAAGCTAACAAACGTAAGCAAGGATTGTCCCAGAGGAAGCAAGTGTCTGGTTACCTTAAAATTAGTCCCCTGTCCTATGTCTCCTTGTGAACCTCTCGGCATCTCGGCCTTATAAACGTGAGCCAATAAAATGAAACGCTGGGAACTAACCTCGCTCTTGTCAGAGGGTTAGGAAGATCGTCGGGCCATGCTGTGCAGGGCAGGCAAGAGCTAGAATAATAACAGCTCACAGTTATGAATAGAAATGAGTAAGTGACATGCTGCTTTTATTTCGTTCTCTATAGAAATGCAAATGCAGCCCAAGGGCTGATGTAAGGTTGAAACCAGCCTTGCATGGGAAATGTGGTTTGCATAGTTTAATACAATTTAATATCTACTCATGGCCAGCTAAGCATCTGTCTCTAATTTCACAACCACGGTCCTTTCAAAGTCACTGCCTTTGGATGTAAGTTTCTCAGAGAGAATGAGCCTTGTGTCCAATGCCTGGAAAGCGACAGCATTCAGCCACCAAGTTCCCCTCCATCCTCACCATGCAGCTTTTCCTGTTTTGATTTTAGCTCCAGGAGAAGGACAATGGACAAGTCAATCAGTCCAGATTACCCTGCACCAGGAGGAGAGACACCTGACAGCCATACCCTTCACCACAGCCACGGGGACAAAGGCGCCAGAGTAATCAAGGCTGTCGAGAGAATGCAATTCTCATCAACCCTTGGGGTTGCCTCATTGTTTTTGCTCTATTTTCCAGAAAGTCTTTAGCAGAGGAGAAAGGTGCAGAGGAAGGGAGGGCCTTGCCTGTTAGCAGAGGCTTCAATGCAGTCATCGCCCTCCTGCCATTCAATGTCAAGATCGGCCCATGCAAAGGAGAAGTCATGGGACAAGGGGCACAATCAGAGCTCTGGGCTTTTCTGTCCTGCTGCACACTCGACCCGCCTTCCCCTGCTGAAAAGGCTGCTTCCCTCTGGGCATGCCCCATGTATGGGAAAAAAATCCTACCCCTGGTCTGCTCTCCTACATACCCACCCGCTGTGAACTAAAATCGCATGGAGTCAAGGCCAAGATGGTTTTCCTAGTAGAACAAACACCTGCCAACTCTGAATATAAGGGCTTAAATCCATGATGACTAGTTAATTACGGATACTTGAGAAATGGGACTATTTATTTATTCTTTGCCCTTCACTAAGCAGTTTAGAGGCTTTTGTTGGAAATATAAGTAATCACCTGCTATGCCTCTCGATAGGGTCCTCGGCTCTGCAGTAGGGTTTGGAAAATACAGACCTGAACCACACAGAGTCTCTGCTCTCAGGGCACAGGGAAGGACAAAGCAATGTCACAGAGACGGAATCACTTGCTCAGAACTCCTTGAAGTCCACCTTGGAAGACCAAGAGAGAACTCATCACCCATGTGGATCCTGCCGGCTCTGCTACCGTTCCCAGAGAGCTCCAGCTGTTCTTTCCCCTCTTGAGATGAATCTCAAAGTTGCTGAACAACCACTTGGAGGTTGAGTTACTCACCCCAGTCACACAGAAGCACTACAGAACGAAGTGACCCTGCCTCTCAAGGGGCAAGGAGAATAGAAGTGGTGTGTGCAGACCCAGAGGTCGCTCTTCCATGACAGTGGGTCACACAGCGGAAATCCCTGACCCTGGGCAGAGCCAGGTCATGTAAAGGAGACTCATCTGCCCCAGCGAGGCACAGATGCTGATTTTTTTTTTAAACTACGTGCATATAAGGACAATGCTCTCAAGGCCAAGGGTTGTCATACAAAGTGGAAAATTAAAGCAGATCCATGTGGCCCCAGCAAAAGGAAAGCAAGGTGGGCCAAGAAGAAATCAGGTGATGTATGGATTTATGGTCCAAATCATAACTTTTTAACATAAACTACTGAAGTAATGTAGGGAAAAGACACTGCAGTGACCAATGGCCAACTTATTTTGAATAATATGCAATACAATAAAATTCCAGTAAAGGCCCTTTGAGTTATAGGTATAGCTCTTTTCAGCCCTGAGTTCTTCATATTTGGCTCATATAGAGTCCCGTGTCTGCAACAGACCTGAAGCTGTTTTAAAAGTGCTCTCACTTCAGCAGCACACATACTAAAATTGGAACGATGCAGGGAAGATTAGCATGGCAGCCATGCAAGGATGACATGCAAATTGGCGAAGCGTTCCGTATTTTTTAAAGTGATCACTTTTAGCTTATAGAATGAATAGTTGTAGAGGCTGGTCTTAGGGAGATTTAGACATTAGAAAACCTGGTGCTAGTAAGGTACATTCTGTGGCCTATGAGCTTAACTCAAAAAGTTTTAATCCACTCCCAGGGCAGTTTACACCTCACAGGAGACCTGTCGGTTAGCAGAAGCTCAAGATCAGCCTCCAGGCAGGGAAGACATGAGTAGAATGTTCAGCATACAGAAAGCCAAGACATGGGAGTAGGGGACCACCAGGTCTCAGCCGTGACCTCATAACCACGAAAACAAAACAAAACAAAACCACTCTCATCACATTTCAGCTCAGCAAGAGGCTAATGATGGACAGCTGGATGTGATCAGGATGGAACGCAGGACCCTAAATTTAATTAGAAAACAAACAAAGTGGACATCCCAAGGAGCGAGCTGTCCCTTTCCAGAAACCAAGGGAGATGGTTCTGCATGAATGGATGGGATAACACACATCATTAGGGTTAAAGACTTCAGAGTCAGACCCCTGAGTCTGAGTCTGTGCTTCTACCACTTAGTAACAATGAACTAAGTGTCTCTAAGGTGAGCTCTGCTCATCTATGAAACAGGGATAAAAATTAATCTGCCTCAGTGGGTGAATATAAAGAATTAGTGCTTAGCACAGGGCCTGGCACATGGTAAGCATTTAAGCAGTGTTAAACATTAGTGCTCACCCTTAGCAGGGGTGAGAGAAACCTGGACCAAGGACATGGCTAGCCCATCTTGCACAGGAATATTCCCCACATGTGAGGTCTTGGGACTGCTGCTTCTCTGTCGTCATAAACAGTAAATTCCTTAAGCATCAAAAGGCTGAGAAGCTTGTCTTCAAGGGCAACCCAAACAGAAACCCTAAGAAGACCATTATCCCTTCTTCCTCTTTCTAGAGAAGTCCAAGAAATTGAGAAGGAGGAAGACACTTTAAAGAACATGTCCTCCTACTGGAGAAGGAGCCATTAGTGTGACAGCAAAACTGACCCCGTACTTCCAAACATGTGGTTTAAGAGGCACATGTAACACATAACATGTTTCTTCAAAAATAAGCCCAGGGAGAAGAATACAACATGTAACCAGCAGCCTCCCTGGAAAGCAGAGGGGTACCCCAGTGCAGCCTTACAGGAGGACCTACGAGATTAAATAGGTGATCCTCAACTGCGGGCAATGTTGTCCAACAGGGGACGGTTAGCCATGTCTGGAGACATTTTTATTGTTACAACTGGAACAGCATCTTCCTGACATCTAACGGATAGAGACCAAGAACACTGCTAAACTTCCAGCAGTGCACAAGACAAGCCCACAAGAAAGAATCAGCTGACCCACGATACCAGCAGTGCCAAGGCTGAGAAACTCTGATGTAGATAAATCAGGCTGGGGTAAAAGATGCTACCATAACATTAGAAGGAAAGTAATTTGAAAAGAAGCATGTTTAGGTATCCAGCTTGTAGAGCAGGGCTGGCATCTGTCACAATAACAGCAACAACAATAATACCTACACAGTATTTACTATGAGTCAGACAATGTTCTGTACTCCTTATCTATAACTCATGTAATCCTTGAACCAATCTACACAACAGGTACTATTTCATCCCCATTTTACAAATGAGGAAAGTGAGGCACAGGACCTTGCCCAAGGTCCAGAATTACTAAGCAGCATAACTGGGATATTAACTAGGCCGTTGGGCTTTGCTGCCCAAGTTCACATAGTAGGCACTTGATACATGTTTGATGAGTTAATGGGGAGAAATAAATATGCATGGCCATAAGCAAGAAGATGTATCAAAGGTACAAGAAGCAATACAAGAGAATATCACTGGTTTCACTTTTTTTCTCCAAACTAACCAAGGAGTATACATTCTTGGTAGAGAAGGAAGACAGCCGGCATGTGAAGACTCCACTTGCCAAATTCTGCCATCATCAAGAACCAAATCACACCTTCCGGAAGATAGATCACTAACATACACACAAGGACAGTGGCCCAAATACTGTAGTATGATTCATTTTTTCCCCGAAGACTAAGATATATAGCCTAAGTGATAAGTTATTCTGTCTGTCAAAATTTTGTTTTAACTGTAATCTGGCCTGGAAACATAACATCGTGGGGAATTTATAAGTTATTTAAAAAACACCTTTTTATGGTTTGGGTTATGTGTGTTTAGTGTGGGAAGGAATGGAAATTTTGAGAAAAAAATTAAAGCACATAAAATACTCATTTTTCTGTGAACCATTTTAGCCTGAGTCACTTTGTTAGGATTGAAACATACAAAAATATCTACTGTGTATAACTTGGCTTGTTTGTAGTAAGACCACATTTGAGATATGAGAATCAGGGTAGAGTTTGCTCAGACAATAATAACACATTTATAATGCATTTATTGTTAAATATTGTTACAAATGGAACCAGAAACTTCCAAAGGAAGGCATTTACACTCCGGGATTGTGCAGGGTTTCTGTGAGACAGACAAAACACTTAGAACAAAAGAAATATTCACATACATAAAAACAAAGTTTCTTTGCCCCTGAACTTAGAAGCAATTAAATACCAAAAAGAGTTCTTTAAGAAATTAGGGGCAGCACCTGTGGCTTAAAGGAGTAGGGCGCAGGCCCCATATGCCGGAGGTGGTGGGTTCAAACCCAGCCCCGGCCAGAAACTGCCAAAAAAAAAAAAAATTAGGGCAGAGGGTTACATAGAGAAGGGATACTCAAAACTCAACATATAGCTTTTTGTCACAGAAAATGTGGAGTGGTAGCCCCAGTTCCCCCAGCTTACCTTGTCCCCAACAACACCTTCTTCAGATTGGTCTCAGCATCTTCTGCAGACAGAATCTGTGACTCAAGTTCTTCTGTATTTTTCATGTTTAATTTCTGGATGTGGACCTTCCCCACAAAACAACAAGTCCTTCTACAATGTAGGGAAGGAGGAACATGCGGCAGACAAGAGTTCACAAGACGAGTCATAAGCAGAGGCGCCTTGATGTGGAGAGGGGTGACTGTGGCTTCTTTGTGGTCTTTCTGCCACCAGGGTCACATATGGATGGCCAGGAGGACCCAGACTCCTCGCAGGAGAGACCTCGTAGACACCACAAGGCTGGGAGAATGAAACAGCAATTCCAGTTAAGTCAGCCAGAGCTGGAAAGGAGGGCAAGGAGGGCCCAAAGCGCTGGGCAGGCAGCCCTTGTCCACATTCAAGGGAATCAGTAAGCACTGGCAGACTCGTTCATGCTTCACGCCACCTACCCGTGGGTAACAAGCATCCTCAGAAAAGCATCGGAGAGCTGAATGGGGATCCTGGCCCTAAACAAGGAACAGGCTAAGATGCCAGAACCGCACTATTATTTCCAAACCAAAGGCTAAAGATTATCTCTTTCTGCAACATTGTAAAGGGCTTTCCAAGCTTACTGCTCCGGTGTTAATAGAGGCAAATTTGATTTCTCTGCCGTTGGCTTTGAATCCAAGAGATTTAACACAGCATGAGTTAGCGAACATTGGAATCCTTTTCTTAATAAGGTCTTTTTACTTTAATTTCTTCATTTTTTTAAGTAGAAACACTCTTTAATTTTTCAGAAGCAGTCAGTTACACTGTTTGAAACAGGAGGCTTGACAAATACCAGCTGGAAGACACACAGGGGCTGTTTTAGAATCAGCTTCCAATTTTGCACGGGCTCTGGGGCTGGACACGCTCTAATGAGAGTACGCTGTATGCTGGTCTTTGAAGAGCATCTTTGTTTCCTGATCACTCCCAAAGGACGATGTCACGCTGGTCCAGAGACTTCTATTGCCATTTCAGTACTGGCATTCAAGTCACTGTATTACTTTCTTCTTTCCTTTCCTTCTCCTCCTTTTTTTTTTTTTTTTTTATTGAGGTGTAACATACAGAAGAGGTGCTCACTGTAAATGTTTGAATTCTTACCCTTTTGTTAAATTTCTTACCCTTGAATTCATAACCCTCACCTACACCAAGATTTAGAATGTTTTTAACACCCTGAATGTTCCCTCATCACCCTCACTAGTAAGTAGCCCTCTCAACCCCTGTTTGTATCCACTATTCTGATTTTATTTTCACCAAAAATTATCTATACCTATTCTTCAACTAAAGATAAATGGAATGATCCTATAGGTATCACACACAATAAATTATACATAATGGAAGTGGCAAGTTTTCTCATATGTATTCACCCATGAAACCATCACCACAATCAAGATAATACAAACATCTATTGCCCCCAAAGATTCTTTATACCCCTTGGCAATTCTCACATTCTCCCCTGCCTGTGACCCCCAGAAACACTGAACATCTTTTTATGTGCTTATTGGTCACTGGTATGGTTTCCCTGCCCCCTTATGAGTTAGGTTGTTTGTTTTGTTTTGTTGAGTTTCAAGAATTCTCTACATACCCTGGATATCACTTATCAGAGACATGATTTACAAGTGTTTTCTCCCATTCTGTGGTTTGACTTTATACTCTGCTGACAGTGTTTTTTGAAGCACAAAATTTTAGTTTTCATTAAGTCAAACTTGTCTATTCTTTGTTGTTGTTGCCTACATCTTTGGTATCACATCCAAGAAATCACTGTAAAATGAATGTCAGGAAGATGTTGTCCTATATTTTCTTCTAAGAGTTTTATAGTTTAGGTCTAATATTTAGTGTCTGACCCATTTTGAGTTAATTTTTGTATATGTTGTCTTTTCTCATTGAATAGTCTTGGTACACTTCTCAAAAATCATTTGACCCTACCTGCTAGTATTTATTTCTGGGTTCCCTTTCTATTCCATTCGTTTATATGTCTATCTTTGTGCTAACACCACACTGTTTTGATTACTGTAGCTTTGTAGTAAGTTTCAAAATTAGAAAGTGTGCATTCTCCAACAGTGTTCTTCTTTTTCAAGATTGTTTTTGGCTATTTGAGGACTTGTGAGATTCCACATAAATTTTAGGATTTTTTTTCTATTTCTGAAAAAAAATGTTA